TCGCGAACTATAGTAATGACGCATCTAACGCTGCTAGCCGCAATGCACAAATATATGATATGCACAGTTCGTCGATTGATAAGAGGGTGATGTGAATCAGCGAGTCGCATAAGAACAGGTGAGTGAGTTACGCGCACCCTTGCATGTTCTCTGAGAAACACAATCTATGATCCTCACCACGAGTTCTTCTTGCATTGCTTTCTTATCCTCAACGAATTCTCCAGCGAATACCTGAAACACTAACAGATACTCTCGAGCACATAAACACGGAGCATCCCCACCTGAGCAGCGCTCGGACCGACATGCTCGATATCGATCGACAAGTCCCTACGAATAACAGAATGTTCTCGATCATAGAACATTAGAGCCAGGTATAACCGACCTCTTGGGGTCGCTGAGAAAATACTCCCGTCGAGCGGTCTTTCCTAGCTTGTTCAGAGAGTGATGTCGAGCCGATGCCTCTCTCTGGCGTTGATCTTCCTGGCGTTCTGCCTCAATCCTGTGTGAACGGAGAGGGATGAGAGAGTATCAGACCTCCCGAATAACCCACTGTTGCGCTATTCTGTCTAGTTTTTCCAGAACGGCTCTGTCATCTCTGGCCATATCAGCTTCCGCTTGACGACACTCGTTTTTGTGAGCAATCTGCCTTTCCCATTCGTCGGCCTGATATAGACTCCATGATTCACAGATTAATAATCCCATTAGACGGAATACAAAAAGATAGGGCCAACCTTGGAGTATTCTACGCTGTTCAGCGAATAACGCCAGTCTACGCAAGGACCAAAGACTTGCAGAGCGAATAACTATACTTACGCTGGCGCCTATTTGCCTTATACGTGGGTCGAGAAGCCTCTTGGATTTCTCAGCTCGTTCGTTGCGTTTGTTCTGGAGCTTTAATGCGAGACCAACCTGATCAAAGAGTTTCTCATAGACGCAACTAACCAATTCAAGATAGAGACCACCTGGCCGGCTTCAGCTAGCTCACGGAGATCGTCGTCGAGACTGGCACTTGGCATTTTTGAAGTTCGCTCACGCGACAACTTATGAACTACGTGAATAGAGCGGAATTCTTCAGGAAAATCTCGCAAAAGGTTGTATCCGAGTTGTCGTGAACCAATCATCCTCACACTATTCCTCGTCTTCAGTTCCAGACAGGGATATCTAGCGTCAAGTGTGTTAGAGAAGTGCCTCTGCGAGCATTGCAAACTCACCAGCCAATGAGCCCGACTCGAGAAAAACAACAAGAATTGCACGAATGACAGCTGTAGATACTTATACTGAACCACTATATCTTGCACTTCCGCGCCCAAGTGAATTTGTAACACGACACACCAGACAAGATTCACCGTTGACTCTCTCACCCTATATGCGTTACTTTAGGCTACAAAGTTAGCTATGAGAACGGTGGCCGGGAGTCGCCTCACATTTCGGGCGGTCAACACCGACACTACATCACATATGATGTTAGGCAAGAACAGCGATGACAAATATAATGCCGACAAAGCTGCCGAAGAGTCGCCAAATATCTTGAGGCGGTCACATTCGGAGACTTATATATGCAACAGATCACTCAAACTAGATTATTATATGAACTCGTAACACTCTTTACTACAGTATCTGAATATACAAGAAAAACGTCAACTAATCTGGACTGTAAATTGATTCGCATTCTTCCAATACGATGTACGACGCCTAGACTAGCCAGAGAGTTTTAGCGTCGAAAACGACCTTCTCAGGAGTCGAAACGATTCAAGCGAGTGAAAAATTACAGAAGCGAGTACTTACTCAAAGCCTCGACGTGTCGTAGACACTTTCAACTTCGGCTTAAGAGGTGACAGAGATCGTTGGCACACTCGACACTTGCATGTTGCATAAGCGAAGATGCCCAAGAGTGATTCCCTAGGGAGTGTCTGACCAAAGGACGCGAATAGCTACTAGACCGCAACAAATTGTCGTATCAACGCGCAACGACCAAGTAATATGACCGTTCGGCTGATAATTTCAAGGGCCTTCAACCGAGGGGGAGAAATTCGACAACTCACATGAGCCAGAGTCCGAGACCAAGGATTGACTATCTCGTCGAGATCACAGTCGTTACATGCCTGACAAATCTTCGGTGACTCATACCTCACCGGAGATACTGGCAACATCGTCTTAAAGATGACTAAACTGACGAGAGAACACGTTGAGTAAACGAACCTTTGATTGAAGAAACGCAAGACTTTACGAGATAGCGGAGATATGTGTTGAAGATATATATCGCCAGAAAACGTCTCAAGTGTAACAGAGCGAGACACGACCCACGTCGTGGAGTTACAAAATAACATCACCTGAGCGTGTGAGCAGAAAAGTCACATCGTTGAGTACTATGTTGTCACTCTTGCTGCTTATTCATTCCCTTTTGGATGTTGCTGAGCCATCGCCATACGGTGTGCTGCCCTCGCTCGAGAGCCGCGTAGTTTGATGGTTGGGGGTGTGATGTCGGGCTTCGGGAAGGGCAGAACCTCACCCAACTCCTCTGGTTTTTCTGGGTCACATCCTAATATGATCGGCCGATACCTAGCAGGAAATACTTCGAGCCGATTCTTGTTTGACCATGGGGTACTCACTCCTGTGCTGTGAGAGCGCATACTGGTGAGTTCTTATAGTGTTCAACATTGGCGTCAAGGCCTTGGACTCTGGCCACTGAAACATCGCAAACCTGACGGAGGAGCACGATTAATCCTGTGCACCCCACTGTCATCTATTCATATAGCACCCGGAGCAGTACGTCTCGACGAGTGCTTGCGCGTTCCGACTACTACTTATCGCGAAAGAGCAGTGTATAATCTTTCCGCTCACTTTAGTTGAGTTGAACCCAGGTAGATGGAGACCCTGAAAGTGTTCTCGGAATTTGTTCGCGACGCCTACGTCGAGAAAATTAATGAACGCGTATCTGCAGATGATTTTGTAACCCAGTTGAACTCTTTGAAGAACCTCACCCAATGTTGCATATATTCTTAAAATCGATAGGGAGGTATAAAAAATCATACTGATGCTTGAAATTCTCGTCCAGAACATCCCGAAGCCTTTGCTAACATGACACAAACCATCGTTTACTATCAAATGCGAAGCCTTCCCACCTGAGTGTACTTGTTGGGGATATTTCTAAGCATTAGAGTAGTTATCGGACCAGATGGATGAGGCGATGGCTCCCTTGCCTGAGGTCGATCACATGAGTCACAAGATTCGATCATAATAAGAATGGTGCTGGCTCACCTTAGGCGCTGGCACTTCAGCCTCATCTTCAGGCTTTACATCTGAAAGATGCTCGCACGATGATTGAGGTGACAATGCATCTCACTTATGTACAAAGCCACGTCGCTATTGTACAACCTCACCCCTCCCCTACCGTCACGCGCCTTCTCGTCTTTGCTCTTTTTCCGAGACCGCTTCTTCTTCCGTTTCGTGGTCTTCTCTGGGGGGTCAGTAGTTTCAGGAGGTATACAAACTCTGACGGGAAAAAAGTAACAGAGATTTTGCCACGTCAGAGCTCTGAATACCAGAAAATAATTCAATGCTTTAATAATACCCCTCGAGTGCGGCAAACATCTAACAGTTGAGGGGTTTAATGACGGTGTTAGATGTCGAACTCAAAAGCGAAGCACAGTAACTCATACTCGATCAGGGTAGTACACGCAACGAATACTCTGATACACTCTGAGCATTACTTTAATAATGGCGAGCCATTTTCCGCATTCTCTTTTTCCATTATATCGGCAAAAGCCTGGGGTTCGTCCATGGAGCCAGAGTGAACTGTTGCTACATCCGTATGAACATCCTGCGTTACCTGAAACAGGTCTCTCACTCAGAAAAAATAACGCATAGAGTTGAGGAACCCACTTCTTCAATGCATCTATCTAATATACCGCCACCGATTACACCGGGGCCAGCGCCGTTGAGATATCCACAGATCGAGCAGCGCCATCGGCCGCCTTCGCAGAGTTCCGAGCCATCATTTGGGGTGCCGCAGTTACCGCAACACTCAAACTCCGGCTCACCAAGCGGGGGCGTAGCGGAGGGATGGAAGCACCGATTCAGCATGCTGTTGATGCTATACTCGCTATCACGATAAAGTTGGGCGGCCGACTTGCTCTGTGTCAATGAGAGCCGAGAGAAGGATAATGCTCGGGTGAATCCGTCGGAGTCCGGTGATAACTGAAGCGCGCAGGTCGAGTTGGCCAATTGCATGAATGTCGCGATCATCCTGTCCCGAGTTCTCTCCCGTCCTACCCCTAGAAGCTCCCTTTTGAGATTCAGTAACTTGTCTTTCAGCGGGACCATTTGTGCAAAACTGCCTCCCCGTTGGATGGGAACAGACACTCCTCTCCGTTCCGAAAGGGCAGCGTCAACGTCATCGAAACTCCGAACCTAAGAAACAAGAGGCAATTCGGGGGCACTCGTGCACAATGCCACACCATATCACTAAGAATACATAAATCCTGGTCTATACAACCCGCTGCTGAGCATATGTTCCACAAACTAGCGCGTGACCGAATCGTCTTTTCACACAGACCCCGACCTTCTAGCGATAGCGGCACTGCTGAGATAATTGCGTCAATTGCTCTTACCTTGGTGAATTCAGGGTTGCTGCAATGAAAGTGGAGGAAGGTGTTCCGGAGACTGACATTCCTCTGCATGCCGGAACTCTCAGAGCTTCCGCCCTCCACCTTTTGCATCGAAGGGGCCGAACTAAGTGAACTGTGCGTCATACCACGTCAGCATTTTACTCGGTGCACTGACGTCAGCGCAGAATCAACGCGCACGCCCGCGCAATCGATTATCTTGCGCACAATTCCGTTTTCGTGACAACGATTTTCACGTGAAGTACATCATTCGTGCCAAGCCAGGTTGACTTGGAGACATGTCCGCTGGGCATCCATCCGCGTCTGCGATTGAGCCGCTTAATGAAGCCAACCTGAATGCTCTGTGGAAGTTTTACGACAAGGACAGGAACGGTGTTATCAGCCGAGTTGAGCTTGAAAATGTAGGCCATCAATGTGGCAACTTCGGCATTGTGTTGGTGACGATTGATTGCATTTTCCTCATTCGGTTTGAAACATATTCCGACCAATTCTGCCATGAAAGGCATTGACCTGTAATAGTTGTTCTCCGTCAACCGTGGGCCGAGGTATGAGGCTAGCGCTATCCAACTTGCATTGGATTCGTTCTCGTGCGGA